AAGTGCAGCAATGAATGAATGGAAATCCAAAATCTCTGTAAATGTTCATTAAAATTATTAAAATAAAAATTAAAGAAAAACAAAAAAAAAGAATGTCATTTAAATATACAGTGATGTATTTAGAAGTAAAAAAAGGATAAAGTCTATAATTTGCTCTCAAATTGAATAAAAAAACAAACAAATACATTTATCTATTAGGAATCCTGGGGTGCAATGGTTATGTTCTTATCTGTTAACTGAATGGCTGGTGGTTCAAACCTCCTCACAAGGTAGGGCTCTGTGAGACAACGGCTGGTGATCTGCTTCCATGAAGATGGCTGTTGTTATTGTTATGTACATTCTAGCCAGAATCAACTCATAGCTGACCCTCCAGTGGGTTTTCAGAGGCAGTAAATCATATAGGAGGAAACTGCCCATCATTTTCCTGAAAAGAACCTAGTGAATTTGATCCGCTTGCCTTTGGGTTGGCAGCATAACTCCGTATCATTACGCCACTAGAGCTTCCTAATTTATAGATATAACAGACAAGAAAGCCCTATGAAGTGTTCTCCTCTGTCATATGAGGTCACTATGAAGACAGAATGGAGTCAAAAGCACCCAATACAATTCACATATGTTTATGTATGATATGTGTGGGAACACACATATGTCTATATGGAGACAGAGAAAAAATGATAAAACATAGTAAGATTATATACTAACTTAAATGACATTTTGTATAATCCAGGAAAAAAGTGTATAGGAATTCTCTGTATTATTTTTTAAATTTTCTGTAAGTAAGTAGTTTTTAAAAAGGAAAAAACCAACATGGGACTGAGCTTTTTGAGGTAGAAACTAGAGAAAGAAGAATCCAGAAGAACCCTACCCTCTCTGCTTTTTTCCTCAGCACTGAAAAATATTATCAATCATAAAGGTAGACTTCAACAGTGGACAGTGCCCCCTCCCCTCAGGTTATCAGTAGCTCTCTGAATCTTCTGACACAGGGCCTAGCATATACTCAGAACTCAAGAAATAGTTAATGAATGAAAAAATGAACTGCAAGGAACATCTGAAACAAACCATCCAGCAAACCACAGTTTGGGGTACTCTATCTGCATAGTGGGGAGAAATGTGGTCCTTGGGTATGTAACTGGCTGGATGGAAATGACGAGCAGGGGGCTTTTGAGTGGAGACTAAGACAGGACCCTTCTCTGGGCATTGTTTTTATTGAAGAGGAAAGGGGAACTGAGCATGTATTCACAGGTTGGCCTGAAGTGGCTCAACTCATCTGATCAAGGTCCCTGTTGGAACATAAATACGCTATGTGATGCACTGAAAAAAAGGAGAAATGCAGCAAGATGCATCAAGAAGAGATAAAGAATTAAAACTCATCCCATTGCCTTGAAGTCAGAACTGACTGCCAGCTAACCCTCCCTCCAGTGGGGCTTCAGAGGTTATAGACTGTGAAGGAAGAGTCTGCCCATCTTTCTCCCTCCTGTCTTTGGGCTGGCCTCACAACTCCCTATCTGTTAGGCCACCAATATTCAGCAACCCTTCATCAAGAAAGCCATGCATAACTATTATCTTCTGTTCTTCCTTCTCTAATCAAAATGTTTTTCAAATTCACAACGACTGTGCACATGCGGCTGGATATTGGAATAATTTTAAATAGCAAAGTTCAGGAAAGCGTCGAAAAGTGGTTTAATAGATTAAAAACATGACTTTGCTTTGAAAATCCAGCTAATTAGAAAATATCCCAGCAGACTGTTTTTCCTAAAACATTCAATGCTGAATAGAAATGTAGGAAAAGAAAATCCATTCCACAGGCCACCCAAGGCAAAGCATTAGGTGTATCCTGTATCTCCCAAAACAATTTGAACTGAGAAGAACAGGCTTGAACTATCCACCAGGCCTCAATTTCACAATCAGGAACACTGTGCCACAATATGCCAGGAAGAAATGAAACGAGACAAGCCACAGCACATAAGAGAGGGCAGGACTCCAAATTGAAAACTTGATCTGCATATTAATTTTTTTGTATTAATAAGGGAAGTCATTTTCGAGGAAATCTCTCTAGCTGAGCTTGCTATGCTCACTGGTAGGGACTTGTTCTCAATTTATTTGAAAATGAGTTCATACTAGCAAATCCAAACCATAATGGAAAACCACCACCTAATCAATAAATAATGGGCAGGGAACTCACAGAGGATCTAGGACAAGTTGGGGCAGATGCCATCTTCCTGTTTACTTTACACCTCTGTGAGGCAAATTAATTCTCAGTCAGAAGTCCGTTCCTTTCTCAAAGTTAATATGGAGAGATATTGTTTAACTTGCCCTTAAACACCTTAGCTGCTAGTTAGTACCTTGTTCTCCTGTGTCCTTCACTCACCATAAGCCCTCCCAAATGTCCCTGTCCCATTGTAAAGCTGTTTTCCCTCTATCTAATAAGGTAGGAGTCCTGGCTTTATTATAGACTTTATTATTAGACTTCTTGATTCATTTCTGGATATGTTGCCTAAACAACTCAAAAGTTGTGGGGCAAAGACAACAGACACCTAAAGCAGATGCCCCAGAAGGCAGTGTATCATACAGCAGAACAGAATCCTATTTGTATCCATTTGTTTTCAGTTTCCCATCTGTAGCTGGGGAGGCCACAGGTATGACTATATTAATGTTGGGTGAAATAATGATGATCCATGTATCCCTTGACCCGCCTTAAGGATTCTAGCATTCAGAATCTCAGATCTATGTGCAAATAATTAGGTGGCCTAGTGAGGAGAAGCAGTCTTCTAGGTCGTATAGCCCTGGTGTGTCCACTTGCCGTACAGCGGTACCTTGTGTTCGCTGAACACTGTGACACTGATGTGTCAAATGCGATAACGGTTACCCATGGTGGACAGTGTCTGGTGGAAGCAAGAGAGGTACCCACTTCCATAAATAGCTTGCCTCCAGAAACCCTATGAACCTCGAGAAAGGATGAAAGTCGCACACACAAGGACTTTCGTAAAGTCGAGGACTTTTTGTTCATAGGGTCGCTATGAGTCGCCTACGACTCAATGAAACTTGACAACAACACAGTAGTAATAAATAACTCATCCCTTGTGGATTCTCCAGGGCTCTGCAACGGGGACAATAATGGTATTAAAGGTCTATCAGCAAATCAAGCCTCTGCCTATTCCTCACCTGAAGAGGAACCAAAGAAAAAACAAAGAACTGTTAAGATGACACTCTAGAAATTTGAGTCTGCACATGGGTCATCGTTTCCTAGTGTGATATTACCAATGAAAAATTCAGAAGCTTTGCCTCTTGGTCCCCACCCAGCTGGTTCTTCTTACCTTTGGTTCCATTGAAATGAAACTGTGGGTTCCTCTGCTCGAGAGAACTGACCTTTTAATCGTCCTGCTATGGTAGAAGTGGTAGTAGTCCTTCAGGGCCCCGATCTGTGAAGGCAGAGGAAAGAGCAAAAGAGACAAACATAAGTGCATGAAAAAAGCTCTCTGTTTTCCTGTTTTTCACTAAAGTGAAAACACAAACCAAAAAGGTCCATAAATTATGCAGCTGCCTGCTTTGCTTAAAGGATACTTGACCCTTGGTGATCGCTTTTCCAAAGGACACGCAATATGAATTAAGAGTGTCCTTGGGGCAGTGACTGCAGGACTAAAGATTTTAATGGGGAGCTGAGCATACCTGTATCTTTCTTTTAATGTTTCATTTATATGCAGCATTTTAAGTAATTCTGTATCAATTTATATCCAAATATGAGGAAGGGGGATAAATCAAATCACTATTTCATTATTAAAACACACTGCATTTTGTTTGCTTCTAGAAATGTACAATGAAGTACCCTGTTAGATTATTTATGTCATTAATTTGAAATAAGTCTTCAGCAGGAGATTATCCACAAAGATAATATTATTTCATTTCCAGATGTCAGTAAACAGTATAAATATATAGTACTTACTCATTCCCAAAGGAAAAGTAGAACAGTAGTTTCTAAAACAAAAATTAAGATCCCATATCCCAACTATCAATTAGGAGTTTTGGGTAAAAACAGTGCAATACACTTTTATCTTATGTATTTCTTTAATATTCCAGTTGTTTATGGGTTCCCCCCAAGTCTCTTTCCTTAATTAAAAACAATTAGACCTGTTTAATGTAGCTTTGAAAATAAGTCCTTATCTGCTTTGAGAAAACAAATTAGCAAACACCTCCTCACCGCACACAACAACAAAAAACTAAACACCTCAACACCCATTTTCTCACCAGTTATAAAAACTGGACCATGTAATAGAAACTGAACCACTCAATGAAGACAGGAGAGCTTACTTTGAGAACCAGCTGACACATACCAAAAATGTCTCTGTAGGTAAACCAAATACATTAAGTTTCCTTATCCATAAAACTGAACTTTGGACTAACTGGTTGGTTTCTTAAGTTCCATTCTTTGGCAATCCAATTTTACCTAAGTTAGGCAAATGCATCACATGGCTATTTCTCCGGGAAACTATGGTTCTGCCATAAAAGAATGACAATCACAGGATGCTTTGCAATTGAGACAATTAAAAAATCATGCTTTCCTAATTTAAAAAGCAGAGGAATGTGCATGTGCAGGGGAAGGGGGGATTAATCATCAGGCTGTACAATTTGATGAGTGGAGGGTGAGGGAAACTGAAAGAATGTGTTCTAATTTGTATTCAAATTTTGTAAAGAAACTAGTAGAAAATTTAAAAAAAAAACTTAAAAAATAATTTAACCAGCATTTTCTCTAAGGAATAGGTAAGTTTATGAGAAAAATATTTCAGTTTTATTAAACTAGATGATCTTCCTGTAATGTTGATTAAATGTTTCTGAAAAAAAAATTTGTTTATATTTAAAAAAAAAGTAGAAGGATGGGAAATCTCCTCCCATGCAATTTACTGTCTCTGAAAACCAGCTGAAGAATCAGCTATGAATTGGTTCCAACTCAATGGCATACAAACAACAACAATTTAAAACAAAAAAAGTAATTGGCTCAGTTTCATTTTTCCCAGCTTAAAAGTTTTAAATTCTTTGCCTCTTTGCATTGCTGTCTCAACTACTATCCTATCTCTCCCAACAAAGAGGAACGTTACAATTTCTGTCCTATAGAGTTCTGGAAACCCCGTCTACAGGGTTTTGTACTGTGAACCAATTTCTGCCCTGTTGAGGGGTAATTCCCTACTGGGACTCCATATGCACTAATAGAAAGTCTCATGATTACTTAAATTTGAGTAAAAATTACAAGTCTCACATGTATTATTATTATTATTAATTATTACTACTACTATTATTATTAAATGAGCACTGCCTGCACAATATACCACAGGTGATCCACGATGAAGGCCTGGAGAAGCACTAGCAAGCGATGAAGAAGTAGGCATAGATGGCAGGCCCCAGAAGGATTCAATGAGGAATTTACAAGTTGGCTGTAATATTCCTGAGGACTAAAGGTAACCAGGAGGGCCCCTTTAATTCTTTACAAGAAAATCCTAAAATCGCTAGAAGCTTAGAGTTGTCATCTATAGCTTTGGCCTGACATGTCCTCCTCAGGAGCTCACTGGCTTCTGTGTCCTCAGAGCACAGACCACAGGGAAAGGCCTTACAGAGAACCAGTAACCAGCAAGGGAAAAAAATGCCAATGTGTTTAAGATTATGCCTACTCAAGAATAATTAAACCTCTCTGATTACGGAAATGAACGAATGCAACTCAACTATTAAACTCAAGCAAACTGTGCATGAAATTCATTCTAAAGATAAATGTGGGTCCTGTGTGCCTCACAGGTACAGAAAGGAATTCAACGAATAGCGAGCCAGAAAACAAAGCGCAGCCCTGATTTAGAAGCACAGCTCTGACTTAGGAGGTGGTGATAATTAAGTAGGAGAATTCTCATCCTCAACTCTGGAGACTCCGGCTCAATGTCTGTCAGCAGAGGTGTGCTTACTAGTTACTGCAACGCCCGGCAGCTTCACTGGACCTTTCTGACTAACTTGAGTTAGGAGAAAAGGCCTGGAGAAGTACTTGGCCATGAAAACCATATGGCTCACAATGGTCATGACAACCTGCTAGTCATGGGGATGACACAGCACCAGGCAGCACGGGATGACCTGAATAGAGGGCAAACTCCATGCCCACTGACAGCATCCTCTACGTGCATACGTGCAGCTCCACCTCTGTCTCTTCCTCTTCATGTCTCACCTGAAGACTCAAAAGTCAAACTTATTGCCACTGAGTCAGAACTGTCTCGTATGAACCTCCAGCAGGTTTTCGGTGGCTATAAATAGCATGAGAGATTCCCATCCTTCTTCTGCGGAGGCTGGTGGACTTGAACAGCCAGGGAGGTGTAGCCTTTTGGCTAGCCACAAAGTCCCACACAAACTCCATCAGAATTTCCAGATGTATAACTCTCTCAAATTCAAGCTCATTGTTGTAAAATCTGAGCCCACACAGTGGGCCCGTGAAGGCTGTTAATCACACTAGAAGAAATTGCCAATCTTTCTCCTGTAGAGCCACTCCTGAAGTCAAACCGTGTGTCTGGGTGGGCAACAAAACTCTTTATCCACAGGCCGCAAGAGCGCCCTGATTTACAGATATCACTAAATTCTGTACTCCTGAAGATATCTTCCTTAACAGGGCATGTTCTCTTACCATATTATCTCATAGACTCTTAAAGACATTTACTTACAACTATACCTTGATTGATGCTATTACTGTTTAATGTCATCATGCCCACATGTTTCAATGAGGCAGGAAATTCTATTTTTCTTTACCAACCAATTTTCAGTTCCTACCATGTGGACCCAAAAACCCATAAAACCCCAAATTTAGGGGAGCTCTGGTGGCCTAGTGGCAAGAAGCTGCACTGCAATCCCAGAGGTGCACGGTCTGCAATCCACCAGATGCTCTGCCGGGAAAGGAGGGACACTCTCCTCCTGTACCAGTCAGATCTGATTTGACGGTACACACACACACACACACACACAACAATAAAATAATATTTTAAAAAATATTTTTAAAAAATAAAAAACCCAAATTTGTGAAGAATTGATTATACACATTAGAGCAATATGTGGTTTGAAATCTCTAATACAAGTATAAAAAACTATCAAATGAAGGCTAATTTCAACAACATAATCTCATTTCCCCCTTAACTGAAGTCTCAATTCTGACAGGATTGAGGTTCTTTTTTTTAATTTTTATTTTATTATTTTTGTGTGAGTGTACCGTCAAATCAGATCTGACTGGTACAGGAGGAGATTGTCCCTCCTTCCCCAGCAGAGCATCTGGTGGATTTGAACCGTGCACCTCTGGGATTGTAGTTGCAGCTCCTTACCACTAGGCCACCAGAGCTTCCCTAGGATTGTGGTTCTTAAGAGTGAAAACTAAGAAATCGCTGGGGTTTTTCCTCCCCTCTCTTTCCACATAAACACACACCCCACTCACAATGCTTCCACTGGAGTGAACCCTCCACTAGATTCCAAGGTTGTAAACTTCATGGGAGACTGCCTATTTTCAGAATGGTTGGTGGCTCCGAACCATCAACCTTTCTGTTAGTAGTTAAGGACTAATAATAATAAATAATCATTAACTCATTTTGTCTCATTATGTATTTACACACACACACTCACACATACACATATATATATATATGTTTATGTCTCTCATCTATTAATATGTATGTCCTTTATTGGCTAAAGAGTGTGTCTTTTATATTCCTTCAATAGTATCAAGCATGCTGAGTGTATTTAATAAACATTAAGATGAAAAATGTCACAACATGTTGAGAGCTATTCAAAAGAAAGACAGTTGTATGAAAACAGAGCAATAAGCATTCCATCTAGCTCCTCTAGGATAATGTAAAACAAAGGATGACTGGCTGTGTTTTTATGTATGAAATAGCAACAAGCACCCACACAAGGAGCAATACATAACTAACACAGGGACCCTGTATAACTAACTCAGGAACAATAGTTTAAGGAGTACAAACCAACAGCAAATCAAGCCCAACCTTTGCTTTAACTCTGTGTAACAGAAAGCAAGAATACTGGACCTCCCCATCAGTTTTCTTAGGGAGTTCTTGTGGCACAGTACATAGGGTTCCAGGGAAGAAAAATCAGCACTCCCCTGCCTTGCCATTTATAGCCTGCTGGAGAGTCAGTTATGACTCAACAGCCATGAGGTTTTGAGCTGTTGAGACCTCTTTTTGTGAACTGGAACCAACTCAGTTGACCCTTCTGCAGTTTTTCAGAGGCTGTAAATTGCATGGCAGGAGACTGCCCACCTCTATCCCACAGTGCCGCTGGTAGATTCAAACCATATGCCTTTGAACTGGCAGCACAACTCTTCCACATAGTCACTGCAGACATCCCCACCCTACCTACACCCTCCCACCTACATCCCCCCTACCAACATCCTCCTTATCTA